CTCTAACCCACCAGCCCCCACTCCCCTCCCAGAGCCAGGGGGAGAACCCAGGCGTCCTGGCTCCCAGCCCCCCCTGCTCTGACCCACCAGCCCCCACTCCCCTCCCAGAGCTGGGAGAGAACCCAGGCATCCTGGCTCCCACTCCACTGAACCCAGGCCAACATTACATCAACTGACCTGTTACCTGTACCAACAGAACGTAACAAAATGGGTTGGAAATCTGCTTACTGTGACTGAAGGGGAAGTCCCCATGACCCAGCCTTGCCACTCACCCCCAGAGCTCCCCAGAACGTGGGTCCTCTGCGGGCCTGGGTGCTCCTGCCACCCCCCAAGGGACCACCCCCAACAGCTACGCCCCTGCTCAGGCTCCAGCCCCGGGGATCAGGGCTCAGCAGCTGCACAACCCTTAGCAAGTCAGCTCAAACGGGGCGAGATTCGTGCGAAGCAGCTGTACGGGAAGCGGCCTGGCACGAGTATCGTAAACAAAGAGGAGGGCAAATCACTGGGGTGCTGCGAAATCTGGGACCAGACTCGCGTGGCGAGACTGCAAGGGGCGCTCCCCACAAACCGGTCGCCGGGTGTCACCCTCCCTGCCCTGACAAAGCACCCACGCCAAATCCGACATCTTAAATCCCGCTCAGTTGAACCCATCCAGGCGAGCGCCCCCAGGAAGAAAAAGGGGCTGGCCTGGCAGTTCAGTTCCTGCATGAGGTTGGGAAAGTCAGGTCAGCCCTGCCTCAGTTTCCCCATCTGTAAAATCCCTTTGCCTTGTCTGTAGGTTGCCTCCTATTTGCACAATAGTGCCCCGATCTCGGGGGACCATAATACCCAGCTCCAGTCCCATAAACGATCCACCAAGCCACCCGTTTTGGAGCCGTCTCCCTTCCAGGTGACTCAACGCCGCAACGTTTGCAGGAGAGCCGCTCGTGGAGCAGACTCCGACCCGGCTCGCGCAAAGCCAGGACGAAGGCACAAACAACGCCAGGCCCTGCTGTGGAAGAGACCCGGGCACAGGCCCGTGACTGGCGCCCCCAGACTGGGGCACAAAGGGCCGTGTGTCCGGCCCCCCGCGGCCCAGCAGAAGGGCATTGTCCTGGCAGCCCTGGGCACAGGGCCTGGGGGGCAGGACTCGGCCGTGGCGGTGGGCGCCGGGCAGTGCACCCCACAGCAGGGAACGGGGCTGCCAGGGGCAGAGACGGGGGGGCGGGGCCAGGGCACCCAGGGGCTCAGCCCAGGCCCAGGGAGCGTGTCCTGGCCGGGCCATATGATGACAGGGGTAAAGGGGCGGGGCCTGTCGCGATGGGGGCGGGGCCTGGGGGAGTCTCCACAGAGGGCTGTGCAGGGGAGGGGGACCAGG